AGTCATATAGCCTGTAAGTGCCTGAGATCAAATTCAAACTCAGGTCCTCCTGACTCTAGGCCTGGCATTCTATCCACTGTGCCACCTGGCTGCCCCTTTATAATTTTTAAAAATAATTAAATGAAGGCCTAAGAAATTCATGGTTATAAATGTAACAGGCTTGAAAAAAGAGTTAACACAGTATGCCCAGATAAAATACAAGCCTCACAAATGAACCATAACACCACCAGATTCAGAGACCTACCACCTACTGTAGCAACTGAGCATCTTAAGTATAAATCCACTTATTTAGAGTAATGAATCAACTTCCTGAAAGTTGAAATTGCAAACCGTAACAAGTGACAGAAAATCTGGGTGTGAAATAACTTCCATCTGGATTCTTCTAATAGGACTTTCTGCACTGGGAACCAGCCTGCCTACCCTTATTATTAAATTTCAAAGTGAACTTGCAAAACATGTTTATTTTTCATGGAAATGCTAGAGGTTTCTCACATGTGTAAAAGAACAACTTAGATTTCAGGTACTCACTTTAAAACCTTAGAAATACTTGATCAATTTATTAGCTATAGTCCCTCTGACATTTTCAATCTGTTTGTCTCATTTTCATTCTCTGAACAAGTGGGGCTCCACCAGTGCCAGGTGGAATTAAGTAGCTAGAAATTCCTTATCTGAGCAATAAATGATTGTTGAAGAAGGAAGAGGATGCCAGATAAAACTAAGAAATCAAGGAACTGGGTTTTCTTTCCTGTGGCTCTTCTCAGGTTGGCCTCAGATACTCAGTACCTGTATGATGCTGTGAAAATCACTTGACCTCTTTCTGCCTCAGTCTTTTCTTCTGTAAAAGGGGAATAATAATAGCACCTATCCCTCAAAGTTGTTGTGAGGATAAAATGAGATAATGTACAAATCTTAAAGTGCTATATGTAAATGTTAGCTATTATTGGCTAAAGAATTTTTTTTCTTAATATGTATTTGGGGAAAAATGAAATACTATTTAAATTAAAAAATGTTTTAAATAATTTTTTCTGGTACAATAAAATATAGAATTTGGATCTCATATCTGAACAATAATTCCTCTTACAATATACCTAACAAGCAACTGTGCAGGCTTTACTTGAAGACCTCTAATAAGGGAGAACTCGCTACCTCCCAAAGCAACCTGTTCCACTTTTGGATAGCTCTGCTTATCAGGTATTTTTTTTCTTACATCATACCTAAATGTATCTCTTTACCACCTGTACTCACTATTCCAGTTCTGCTTTCTGGCATCAAGTAGAATAAGGCTAATTTCATTTCGATGGGACAGCTCTTCAAACGCTTGAAAGCCTGATGAATGAAGGAGTCATACTTATCCCAAGACTTTTCTTCTCTAGGCTAAACATCACCATTTCTTTCAACCAATCCTCATATGGCATGAGAACAAAAACCTTGATCATCCTGGTTAGCCTCTAGTTTCTCAATGTCCTTTCTTCAATGGTGGTGCCCAGAACAGGGATCCTCCAGGTGTGGCCTGACCAAGTCAGAGTTCTCCTTATTCCTGGACACTCTACCTCTATTAATACCATAGAACATTGCATTTGCTTACTTGATACCCTAACTCAATATTGACTCAAAAGGAAATGGCAATCCACAAGAGCCCAACACACTGGCCTTGGAAACAAAAGACCTGAGCTGATGTCTCAACTCCATTTGCAAACTGTATGACCTTAAGCAAATCACTTAAGCCTTCTGGGCTCCATTTTCCCCAGTTGTAAAATGATGGGGTCGGACTCCATGACCTCTGAATTCCATCCTAGCTCTAAAATTTATGATTCGCATAAACTTCTAGCCTTCTCACTCCAAATCTGGCCCTTCCCTGAATTTGTTTTTATTTGAAGAACAAGATTTACTTAAGGGAGTGGATGGAAATGAAGACGATTCTTTGAAGCCAAAATGAATTAGAGATTCTTTTGGGTCATGTCCTTTGGAGGGTCCAGAAGAAAGAACAAACGGTCTCTTTACATTTAATGGAACACAAATCAGCTGTGATCCATCTGAGATGGTCTATAAATCCTGAGAAAAAATAATTGGGAATCTGGAAAAAATCTGGGTTGATGCCAAATAAGAGAGATGGCCAAGCTCTATTAGTGAGAGTCCATTTATCAGCCAGCCAGAGCAAGATAACTTTCTAAAATGGGAGCCCTGTGCAATTAGCCAAGAAGCATCAATAAAGCTGACTGATCAAGCCCCAATATGCTGCAATCTCACTTACTTCATCTGTTGTAGATTCATAGCCTGAAAGAGACATAACGCTCTCGTTCTGCAAATATGGGAAGTAAGACCAAAGGCTGAGGCACATATATCTGTTCTTCAGAGCTAAATATCAAAAGTAGTAAGAGCCCTCCAAGACGATCTAGTCCAACTCACTCATGCTACAGATGAAAAAACTGAGGTCCACTTGGAGTAGAGATAATAAAATGAAAAGATAGGACACTATGGGTCTGGAATATTCCATAGCTTTGGAAACATAGTTGACTTAAGTTGTTTTTAATTTTTATTGCCAGTAAAGGCTTATGAGAAGACGAGAGATATGTTTGGGAATCAATATGATACAAAAGAAAAAAGGCACTGGAATTAAAAACAAAAACAAAACTGGGACCTAGAGAGGAGAAGTTACTTGTCCAAGGTCACACTAATCATTTGTGGCACCCAAATCGTCTGAGGTCAAATCAAATGCTATTTCCCATTAGATGGACCAGTAGGATACTTTTTGTTGTTGTTTTTGTTTAGTCATGTCCAATTTTTCATGACCTCATTTGGGGTTTTCTTGGCAAAGCTCTTGGAGTGGTTTGCCATTTCCTTCTCTAGCTCATTTTACAGATGAGAAAACTGAGGCAAATAGGGTGAAGTGACTTGCCCAGGGTCACAATGAAGCCAGATTTGAACTCAGAAAGATGAGTCTTCCTCACTCGAGGCCCAGCACCCTATCCACTCTGTCACCTAGCTGCCCCATCAGGATAGTATGGTGACATATTATTTCCAAGGATGGTACCGAGCTTAGGACAAATCATGCTGTGGGGCTTCCCCTTTCCACCCAACAGATTAAAATCTGGTTAAAATAAAAGATCAAGAATAATCTCAAAAAGAGAAGAAGTTATTGGAAACAGCTTGAAGCATGGATATGGAGGGGAGGAAGGGTACACCACTTCCAGGCAACCAGACATGGGTAGCACTATTGGTAGGTATTTAAGCCTGAGACCTCTAGGAGCCCCAGAAAACAATGCCAAATCTTTCTGCTCTACCTGGAGCCAAAAGAATCTTGAATCGTAGAAATAAATGCTAACATATAGATATTATCTGGTCTGATGTCATTTTAAAAATGGAGAGATGAAGGAACAGTTCTTTGCAAAGTGACTTGCCCAGGATCACATAAAATACTAAGTAAGTGTCAGAGCAAGGACTTGAACTCAGAATGGTAAAGTGGAAAGTGCTTGGGCTCTCTCGTCAGAGGAATGGGGTTCAAATCCTACCTGTGTGACCCTAGACAAATCAATAAACATCCTTGAGCCAAGGTCTCCTCATCTGTAAAATGAAGGGGTTGGACCAGCTGTCTCTGAGTTTCCACCCAACTCCAGATCTATGAGTTTCCAACTTGAAATCCACTCCTCTCTTTTCACTACCACTTACTGGACAAAGCTCCTCCACAGCTCTATCTCACCCAAAGGAACCCCCCCTGTCTTTGCTTTGCCTTGCTCTTGGGATGACCATACTCACAATTTCAAGAAAATTAGACACCCCTTAGAGAAAGGTTCCTCGGACTGAACACACTCTATATGATTGTGCTTGTTCTGTTCAGTTTTTAAAGAACCAAGGTATAGGAATATTATCACCATCATTGTCATTACAAAGACACTTTATGCTTTCTTAAGGACTTTCCCTACTTTTCCTACTCTACAAGGCATAAACATTACCTCCATGTAATATTTGGGGAAGCAGAATCAGAACGACTAAGCAACCAGTCTAATATCACAGTTACTAAGGGTTAGAACCATAACTAGGATGCAGGTCTTCTCATTCTTAGTTTAGTGTTCCTGCCTCTCTCATAGGTCACACAAAACAGGATTAAATTCTGAAACCAACAGAATCATAGAATCTCAGAGACCTCTTCTCTCCTGCTTCCACTACTCACTCTCTGGACTTCTCCTCCATGTCCCAACAATATTCTCACCAGGAAAATGCCTCCCCTCCTGTAGCCTTTTCTCCTTTTCTTCTGAGAAGATCCCTCGGCCCATGTGGCCCCATCCTTTGGCCGAGTTCTTCCTGGAACCTCCACAGCTATGCAATATTCTTGGAACCTGGAACTTTTGAAGAAGCATCAAAACCTGCCAGGCTGACTTCTTCACTTCTCTCACTGGATATTTAGTCCAACCCGTTCCTCAGCTAAAATCCCCTCAATAATATTCCTGGAAAGATGTCATTTAGCTTTTGCTTCAAAACTTCCAGAGATTGGGGACTTACTACATCCCTTGAGGCAGCCCTTTCCACTTTGAGGCATTTCTAATTTGCAGGCGGTTTTTCCTTACAATGAGCTAAAAACTGCATCCTTCAACCTTCCACCCATGGCTTAACCCAATCACCAAGCTGTCGCCTTGATAAATTCCCAAGGTTTTTCAGAAAAAGAGTTTAATACCCACCACTGAAGGTCAGACAGTGCAGGTTCTTAGAAAGACCAAGGAATTACTACATTGCCAGAGATGATCCTATTTGTCATCTTCCAAGGTATCAACCACAAGGAAAAGTTATTTGGATTTATAACAGCCATGAGGACTTTAGACACAGGAAACGATTGAGGCGGGGAGGGGAATCTTTATAGACAACTTATCTGCTAAAGGTCTGATATCTAAGATACATAAATATATGTAGAATTAATCTATCTATCTATATTTGTATCAATTCCCTATATTTACATCATTTGTCATTTGCTTTATAAATGTTTGTTTAATTGAAACGAACAGACTTACCATGATCTGGATTTCTCTCTTGCACACTTGGAGGTCATGTTCATTGTTGACAAACATGCGTTTGAGGGCACACTTCATCCCATTGCTTGTCCTCACCAGGAAGACAATGGCAAATCCCCCTATGAAAGAAACAGACAATTTTTTCAAAGTTAATCCTGGCCACAGCTAAGTTAGGTTCAGGTATGGTGTTTAATAGATGTATAAAATTAGAGTGGTCTAGGGGGTCAGACCAAATGAGCTCAGATTTCCCAGAAGATAAATCGACACTACTGGTCAGACTGGGCAACAGCAGACAGGGTCCCTGCTTCTCCTGTGCACAGTGGAACTAACTAAATAAAGTTAGAAAGGCATGGAAAAAATATCAAGAAGGACAGGATGAGAAATCAATCATCGACCCAACAATCAACATTTATTAAGTGTCTACTGTGTGCTCAGTGCTAGGTACTAGGTACTGGAGACATAAGTACAAAGAATCAACAAACAAAAAGTGAAAAATACCCCACCCTCACCTAAGAACAGACTAGTCATCCATATTCTTGGGAATAAAGTCAACATAGGAGACTTTGTTAATGCTGATGCATTTTCTGCTTAGAGCCCTGACTAAATGTTGATAAAAAAATTACTGGAGATGCTCTGTTTTGGGGAAGGCCAGCGAAGGGAAGAGATAAATTTTCCTCTTCCCTAAAAAAGTACAAGCATGGCTCATGGCTCAGAAGTCATGGGGCACATACTCACATATTATGAGTATTTGTGTGGTTACCTCATTTGAGAATGTGAATGATTCAATAACTAAATGGTAACAGAGCTATCCCCACGAAAATGAAAAATCGAGGAAACCAAAATCAAGCGACTCAGGGACAAATATTTTTGGCATTTCAATGACAAATTGTTTTGCCTGACTATGCATATTTGTTACATGAGTTTTTATTTTGTTTTGTTTTTGAGAGAGGGCAGTGGCGGTAATGGAACTTGGGAGAGAGAGAAAACACATGCTTGTTAATTAAAAAAAATAAAATTTAATTTAAAAATTATTAAGGGATGGTAAGTCATTTAACCTTTGAACCTCAATTTTCTCATCTATAATATGAGGGGTTTTGACGAGATGGCCTCTGAGGTCTCTCCTAGTTTTAGATATAACAAGGAGTTTATATAGTCTCAAGGGCGAGACACATCATGCGCTATATATTAGCACATACAGAACAAATACAAAAATAAAAGCAAAGTAGTTAAATACAAAGTTGTTAAGGAGGGTGCTAGCAGCTGGGGCTATCAGAAAAGTTTTTTGAGTGTGGAAGGTGGTGAATGCGCTGCAGTGTTTAGAATGAGGCAGATGGAAGAGCTTAGGTACCCAAAATCCAGAAGCAATTGAACATAATAGCAGAGTACTTAACAAACCCAAGGGCACCAACCACTGGGATTCTCAACAAAAACTGCTAGGAAAATTGGAAAGCAAACTGGGACAGACTAGGCTTAGACCAGCATCTTATACCATATACCACAATAAGCTCCAACTGGATACATGACCTAGATATACAAGATCATATCATAAACTAATTAGCAGGGCAAGGAAGAGGATTACCCTTCACAGCTATGGCTAGAAGAGTTCTTGACCAAATAAGGAAAAAAGAAACTCACAGAAGGTAAAATGGACAATTTCGATTCCACGCAGTTTTACTGGAGATGCTTGCTGTGAGCCTTCAACTAAAAATAAAACTTACTTTATTCACTTATGTAATACCCTGGAGAAATCATTTAACCTCAGTTTCCTCATCTGTAAAATGAACTGGAGAAGGAACCATTCCAGTAAATTTACCAAGAAAACCCCAAATGAGGTCACGAAGAGTCAGATATGATTGAACAATAACAACAAAAATCATCCATAGTACATTAAATATAAAAGAATAATGAAGATTTTGACAACCCAGGTCCATTTCTATCTGAATCTCAATAAAAAAAGATGAGGACAATAATAATAGATGTTTCTATAGTCCATTAAGGTTGTAAAGTGCTTTACATCCATTATCTCCTTTAATGCTCACAACAACCCTACCAGAAAGGCACTCTTGGTGTCATTATTTATCCCCATTTACAGATGAGGAAACTCAAGTCTTACAGAGGTGAAATAACTTGCCCATGGTCTTACAAATAGGTGCCAAAGGTTGGATTCAGGGCACCTAGGTGACACAGTAGATAGTGCCGAGCCTGAAGTCAGGAAGATTCATCTTCCTGTGATGGTGGGAAATTAAGTGATTTTTGTCTGCCTCGGTTTCTTGAACTCTAAAACAGTGATGAGAGTACCATGGACTGCAGTGACTGAGAGGTTGCAAGGCATCTGTGAAACAAAATTAATAGGCACCAGTTGAAAAAAATGACAGGAGGTTGAAGTGAGTTTGGAATTTTTCTGGCAAGGCTATTCAAAGGTTTCTACTAGCTGAAGGTACTGCTCGTACTGGGGGCAATTAGAGCATGAACAAGAGACAGCTAATTACTGGCTAAATACCTGAGAGACCAGAAGAGGAAGTGTAAAAGAAAAGGACTTCAGTGCCCTAGGAAAGCAAGAACTCCCGAACCCACGGCAACAGGGCCTGAGAAGACAAAGCACACTCATGGCAGTTTGCCACAGTGCTTCCCAAGGGGAACACAAGCAATAGAGACTCTCAATGTCTGCAGGTATGTTGGCTGACAGCAGTCACCATTCAAGTGACCCGCAGAGTTTGTCATTCTACAAATTAGACTCCCTGCAGAAGAAGATGATCCAAGGGCTATGGGGGCACTTGGACCTCTGCTTTCCAACTTACTACAAAGGGTGAAGGAATTCCCTGCAGGGCAGAAGAAAAAGAGAGACCATGGTACAGTGGAAAGAGCTTTAGAGGACTTGATTTCAAATCCCACCTCTTAAATTTACCACCTCTAGAACCCTGAGCCTCAGTTTCCTTGTCTGTAAAATAAGGGGGTGGGATTAGATAATCAATGAGGTTCTTTTCAGCTTAGATCCAAGATCTCATGAAAAAAAAGAATGAGAAGGAATCAGTTTCTAATGCAATACATAGGAATTCAAATCAGAATTATTTAGAGTTGTCAAGACGTTAGAAAGTGGAGGAAAATCACAATGAAAGAAGGAAGAAGATGAAAAGCATTTGGAACATCCAAAGATAGATATTGTAGACAAGGTTCTTTACACAAAAGATGGCTCTGGACCTTCTGAAGAGTCAGAGGCCTCTCCTTGCTCCATGAAAGAATAAAGATTTACCAGGATCTGTCATTGACCCTGTGGGAAAAAAAAAAAAAGACACGTTTGGGGGTGGTAGAAAAGAGGAACGGAGGCAGCCACATGTCCACCGGATGTGTAAAACTGGGATGTGCAGTCTTCCCACGTGCGTATTCAAGATGGGGCGGAGAACCCTCTGAGACTTCTCAGTCACACCTAAGGCCTACCACCCACTATAGTGATCCATTTTTGAACCGATAATATTGACAGGAATAATCTGGAAAGAACCTCTAGGGATTATGAATTCTTGGTCAAAAAGCTAAACTAAGATTTGTGTTGCTGCAGTCACAGATACCAATGGAAGGGAAGACAGTGGATATTATGGGAAGTGAACTTAAGGTAGTGATATCAGAGAATGGAATCTGGCTTTCTGGACCAAGGCATAACATAGAGGAACAGCAAATGGATTCTTAGAACAGAGGACATCAAGACCCAGGAAGGGTTTGTTTGTGGGGACTGGCTGATCACGTTAAAGTAAGAGGGAAGAAGGGAAGTGCCCAAACACAAGAAGTATGAAACCGGAAGACACTAGAGGTCCTCAGTTATCCACAGGAAATAGTAAGTGGGTCAAAGGAGCAGAAACTGTGCTCTTTAGAGGGACAAAAACCATACTCCCACATTCAGATGGCTGTGCACCGATACACAGAGTGTGCTTCCATTGTGAGGGAGATGACGGTAGCACCGTACTCTACTGCGGTCCACTGTGACCAGCCAACATGAGATTCTCTGATCCTCAAATTCTCAAATAATTGCTGGACATCTCCACGCCATTCTGCCATCTCCTCAAACCCAACATGTCCAAAACTTATTTCGTCTTTTCCCCTCACAGAACCTGCCTCTCCTCTAAATTTCACTGTTTCTGTGGATGGCACCACCAAGTTGCCAATCATTCAAGTGCCTGACTTTAGAGTTATCTTTGACTCTTCATTGCCTTTCAACCCCCACATCCATTCGGCTGAAAAATCCTGATTTTGTCTCTACACTATGCCTTGCTTCTGCCCCCTCCTTTCTATACCCATTTCAAGCATCCTGGTTCAGTCCCGCTTCACTTTTTAGCTGGACCATTTGTTACAGCCTTCTTTTTTTTAAGGCAATTGGGGTTAAGTGACTCTGTGCCCACGGTCACAGAGCTAGTAAGTGTCAAGTGTTTGGTCTGAGGCCAGATTTGAACTCAGGTCCTCCTGAGGTCCAGCCCTGACTTCAGGGCTGGTGCTCTATCCACTGCACCACCTAGCTGCCCCTTCTAACAGCCTTCTAACTAACTGGTCTCCCTCCCTCCAGGTTTTCCCCTCTCCAATCCAGTTATCAATCCAACTTCTCTGAGCAATTTTCTTTATACATAAGACTGATCACATCACTCCATAGCTCTAAACTTTTTAGTGGCTTCCCATTGCCCATCAAATAAAATATAAACTCTTAATGGCATTCCAGGCCCTTCACAATAAACCCTTCCAGCCTTATTTCACTTCACTTCCCCCACTTCACATATTCTACATTTCAGGTCAACTATACGACTCCTAGCATTTTGCTGTCGTCTCCCACCTTTATGTCTTTGCGTACAACATTATCCCCCACACCTGAAATAGACTCCATATGAATTTCTTCCAGTTAATACCCTTCTCTTTCTTCAAGGATCAAGTCAGGTGTCATTTCTTTGATAAAGCCTTCCCTGATAACCCTAGCTACAAATAATCTCGTCTTTCTCAAATCTCTCATGCCTCTTTATTCGGACCTCTCCTACAATAACAGTAAAATAATATGGCACTATAAAGTTTCTAGAGTTCTTCCACACACACAAAAAAATTCTCAATCACATTTTTTTTATTTTGAAGTTTTCTATGTTTTTGTTTT